CTCCAAGCTACTGAAATCCAGGGGTAATAATTAACCGAGTTAAGCGTGGCACTGTAATTGCAGCCATATGCCCTTCACAGGGTGCGTGCGTGTTAAAAACGTTTGCGTTTTAAGGCTCTTTCTTGCAGCACTTGGCATGTATTTGCTCCTATTTTGCTTTCAGCTGGAGGGATGAAGAGCTTGCTTTGAAAGATGTGCGGGAAAATAAATCTGAATTAGCTAAAACTGGGAATGGGAAAAGGATTTAAATCAAAGGGGTGCAGGCCTGTTCCTTGGGAGCAGGGAAGCCCCTGGGGCTGGCGGTGGGCAGGCAGGAGGCTGCACTCCCGCTGCTGGAGAGGCAACGGGGCCTGGTGCCATGGCCCGTGGCTGCTGTAAAGGGGTAAAACTGCAGAAGGGAATGAGGGGGGAAAAACCCAGCTCTCTTCTGGCAAGGACTGGAAAGTCCTGTTTGGAAAATTGGACAAGGAGACGGTCATGGGAAAATCTGAGCACTGGAGCAGCGGGAGGGTGAACAGTCAAACCTCCAGGGTGTTGCGGGGAGTTTCTGTTTCAACCCCTCTGGACTTCGGCTTCTTACATTACGGCCTGATAAATGTGTCAGCGTTTAAAGGCAGCCTTTTGGCCCTGATGTGAATGCCTCAGTGAGCTATATCTGAAGCAACGGGGAGGTGAGAGGTGCCGGGTGCTTGATGCAAACGGGGAGAGGCTGTGCCGGAGCTGTGCCGGCGAGGGGACGGGGCTTCCCTGCTCCCTCGTCCCTCAGGATCCCACGCAGCTCTCGCTCTCCAGCACACCTCTGGCACTGGGAGCACAGCAATGCTGGAAAAGCCCTTCCTCCACCCCCCTGAAGTGAGGGTGGGCTTTCATCCAGGGAGAGGGTCCTCTCTGCCATCCTGACACTCCATTCTGCAATTTTTTTAGGAACAACTAGATGCTTAATTATTTCCACAGCTCAGCTTCTGCAGAAAAATGATCTGTCTGGCCCAGAGTCCTCCGTCATTGAAGATTTTCCATTAAAACAAGTCACAAGTTATATTTGTCCTCCTGCTTGGAGATCACGGTGTCTTTCCTCAGGTTTTATTGCTGGTTCCACCTTTTCCTTTCCTCACTCAACCATCTTGCTCATCCAAATCTGAAGCTGTGGAGCAAAGCCAGCAGCAGTGGGGCTGCCACTTTTGGGGATAGATTAAGGGTCCTGGTGGCCTCACTGCCTTCTGCTGCATCGAGTCCTGCTGGGGCAGGCAGGTAGATGTGTCCCCTGGCTGGATGCAGGGCACATGGTTGGTAAATGCCATCCGTTGGCCCCTGCCTGGCCCTATAGTTCTTCTTGGTGTATAAAATGCTGAGTAGTCAATAGGGAGCCCCTTCCTAATGTCAAAAGGCTGAAGGGGGAGGAGGACAGCAAGAGTTAAGGCCCCCAAGTCAGGACTGTGGCCCCTCTTGATGTCCAAGGCCATCAGCAGGCAGGTGGGCAAGCAGCTCCTGGGGCTGCCCATCCCCGCTCTCTCTGCTGAGGGAGCTGACACCCACACCTATGCCTCAAACAGCCCACGCTGCGTGGGGGAGCACAGTGCACCGTGCCCCGAGAGCGGCAGAGCGAGCAGGTAGGGAGGGCGGTGAAAGGTTTTTGCTCACAGCTGCAAAGGTCAGGCTGGTGCTGGAGCCAGTGGGAGGACGCAGCCTCCCCATACATGTCCCTAGGTGCAGGGTTGCCTTTTGCCCTTGCTTTTAACACTTCACAAAGCTGCAGTGAATGGAAAAGAAGAGTTCCAAATTTACTGGGTGAAAGTCAGGCCCTGGGCTCTGCTCTCCACCACTGCCGCCCCGGCAGCCTGCATTTTATCTGTCACCACCATAAGGTTCTTGAGAAGTCCAGGGCTGATGCTGAGTGAGCGGAAAGGCAGGAGAGCAGGGACTGAAGGTGGCCCCTGGGTTGTGCCTGGGGTGAGGGAGGCCTGCAGGGAGCTGGAGTGCAAGGAGGAAGAGGAGGGTGTGGGAGGAAATGGGGAGTTCAGGTCTTTGTGCGCAATATAAGGAAGTATGGGAGTATCCCTGCGGGATTATCAAAGAGACTTACAAGAATGGGCAATGGGGAAAGGCTGGAAACAAAAATGCAGCCTCACGCTGTGCCATGTCATGATGAGTGAATGAACTCACGGTGAGCTGGTGTTGCAGGAGAAGGGGGGGGGGGGCTGCAGAAAGGTGCTCACCCTGGCAGGGAGAAAAGAGCAGGCAAAAGCAGATATGGGTGCCGAGGGCAGTAAGAGCAGAGGACACGGGCACGGCAGGAGCTGAGGAAAGGAAGGAGGCTAATGGAGTGAGGGACAGAGCCAGGAAACTAAAACTGAACTTCACAGGACCTTGATCTGCAGCTGCAGAGCTGCTCTCGAAGCTTGCTGAGCCACCCAGGGCAGGTGGCAAAGGTGCTGGGAGAGAATTTTGAACCCTGAGCCGGTGCAGGGAAGCACTGGCAGGAGGACAAGGAAGAGTAAGCTGGCGTGCTCTGCTAATAGCCGCCGTGGTGGCTACATAAGGAAAAAGTGATGCTGGCAGAATAAACCTGTAAGGAGTTCTTGCTCCAAGTCCTACAAATGGGACCTTGCAATATGCCTGCCAGAGTGCCAAGAAGGTAGCGTGAAGGCAGGTTATCGCCAAAACCACTCACCTCAGACCTTTCTAAAGGTGTAGGCGTGAAAAAAAAACAGTGACAGGGTGGACATGCAGCAGCAAAGGGCACATGTTCAAAACTGGGGGTGCAGAGGGTGACCTACGGCGGACAGTCTCATCATATCATCAAGTGAACAGGTAAAGCTCTGCACTGAATAGCCCCACATTAGCAATGCATAAATACATAACATGTCCCAACCTATTTTGCTAACAAACACATATTCTGACATTAATCTCCATCCTACTTGCTTTACCCGCGGTTCCTCTGCATACAATGCTTGGTTACTTTTGCATGACTGGCGGAAGCAAACAGTAGCAGAGCCAGCATGCGGTACCTGGGCAGTGATTTGTTTAGCTACAAAACTTCCTTGTAGGCTAAAGCGTTTGCTTAATTTATTAAGTCATTCTAGAATTCTTGCAGGATGATAGCAGCACCTTCCTAAGATACTGTTTGTCTAAATGTTACAATACACAGCAGAGAACGTACTGCTGCCTCCAAAACTACTGGGCCAACCTGGTACTACTGATAACTGCACTTTCCTCCCTCCCTCTGGCCTTCGAATAAAAAGTATTTGCATTCAGATGGTATCTATTTAAATATTTGCATACCAGGTCCAGCCATGTACCCAGGCACTTGCAGAACACTGATATCTATAGCTGTGAATGCCTCCGCAGGGCCTTGACAGCATTTCCAGCTCCTCTTTTGCAAGGGGGAAACTGAAATGTAGCTAACGAGAGGAACATTGCCTTTTCGATTTCCAGCTGTGGCAACACCATGTTTAGTCAAGAAAGGCTGAAAGTCACTTGGGATTCTTTGCTGGCAAAAAACCTGTAGCAGCAGGTGGATAAACCTCCCCCAGGCCCGCTCCTCAGCTCAGATTTAGCAGTCGTTCGGAGTGCAGGGTGAGTCCCCAAGAAGAAGGAGGTTTGGCAGATTCTCACCCAGCCCCACACCTGGATGACTTTGCAGGACTACAGTGCAGGCATGGCCCTCTCTGCCAGAAGGAAGTTTCAGCGCATACACTTGGGCTATGCTCGTGCAATGAGAATGGCAGGGAAATAAAAATGACTCAGGATGACGATTTTATATAATCCTTTCCACAAGGGCCTTTGGCTCCCATGCAAATTAGGAAGCACCCAGCCAGCTGCAGTGTTCTTCCTCATACCAGCAAGCCCACCCCAGAGCAGGTCGTGTGTCGGGAACCCCTGGGGAAGAGCAGGGCAGGAAAGGGAATGGACATCCCTGTGCAACCTGGAGCCTGGCCTTCTCTGTCGGCCTGAGCCAAGCCGGGTGCCAGCAGCACAGAAGTCCCCTGGTCAACTCTTGGCAGAGCTCGGTCCTGTGTCAGCAGCTCTGCCGCACTCCATCCCCGTCCAGGGGGGTTACAGCACAGAAGGAATTGGGCATGGTCACCCTTCACACAACCCATCATTTACATGCTCACACAATGGGCTAAAATCTCTGGCTAAAATTAGTCCTGTGCTGCGACACGCTACCGACAGATAATCAGGTACAAGTTAAGGATTTGGGCAAAGTGATTCTGTCTGCCTGAACGCTGGAGAGAAACACACAGGAATAACTGAAGTGGCTTAAATCCACATCCTCCACCACTGTGAATGAGGAGAGCTGTAGCTCCCACAGCAGGGAGGGGGGAGGCACCATGCCTGAATTTCAGGGGCGGAAGGCGGCAGCATGTGTCCCCAGGTATGTGCTCCCTCTTCCCGTGGAAATCCCCTTTGGACAATCCGAAGGCGTCAGAGTTCAAACCGGAGCTGGGCTGGGCGATAAACAAGAGGGCGAGCGGGCATGGGGCTGCGTTGCAAGCCTCCAGCCTCCCCTGGCAAGTCCCAGCAAGAGGTGCCAAGTATTGGAGCTGGAACAAAAGGTGCCAGGAGGGCGGGTGAGGGGGTGCTGCCACAGATGGCATCAAAACCCCTCTCTACCGGCCGGGCAGCCTGGTGCTTGGGTGACAGAGGGGGAATCCCAACCCCCCGACCTGCTTGCCGCAACAGGCGCAGGAAACGACACCTACGTCTGCTTCCAAAATTAGCTGCAGCAGAAGGGCCAAGAGATGCGAGCTGCTTAGATGTCTTAACGCTGCTGAGGTGAACCACTTAAACCCCTGAGCCTGTGACCCTATCGGTCTACTAGGTGTTAAATGTTTCTTAAAAAGCAAACCAGGTGGATTCCCACGTGTCTCGGGACAACAAGGTGGGCAATGAACGATTTCACAGGCCAGGTACAGTAATCTGACTTTTTTTAATAAATACATATCTCACACGTACCAAAATAATTATAAACAAAAAATGTACAGCATTTACACAATATACAATTGCTAAAAAGTGTAGCAATTATGACACACATGGTGTGAAACACAGAGTTTCCAATGCCCACAGTTAACATTATTGCTACTTTCTCCTAAGGGCCAGGAGGTCAGCAGTCCCCCCGTTTGACTCCCCAGCCTGGGATGACCTGCCGGGAGCAGCTGAGGTCGGTCAGTAAGGCCAGGGAGCACCACCACAAACACAAACTAACATCAGGTCTCTGGGAAGATGGGGTGTCGGTACAAGCCTTGCCTTGCTACGAGAGGACGTGTGTTCCTCGTGGTACTTAACACCACAAGATAGCTCTCTGCAACTGGCAGGCTGGATGTGCAGTCCGTTACCTTCGTAGGGTTGAGAAGATTGGCTATGCGGCTCTTTATCAGGTGGTGTGAATAACCATGGGTCTCTACTGATGTTACACATCCCACTCCTGCATTTAAACACAGGCCAGAACCTGGAACCATCCTGTTACAATTATGTGCTCCTTGCTGGGCAGTGTAGTATTTCCCTCCTGTTTTTTCTCTCTGTGTCGTGACTTTCTTTTTAAATGAAGAAAGTCAGTCCTTTTTCTATACATATGTACACAGTCACTTCTTTTCACAGAAAGCTCAGCTTTAAAATGCCAGCTGTCGTCCTCCAATAAGGCAATCATCATACATAAGCTGCAAGAAAAAACAAAAGGCTGTTAATGCAAAGCTCTTACTGGGAGTATCGTATCCACTCTGGGAAAACTGCCAAAATCTGCATGCCCTGACTTCGGCACCGTGTAAGATTTCTACACTGAAATGGTTACGTTTGCCATTTAACAGCACTGAGAACGTTACAAAAACAAATGCTGGGGAGGAGAAAGCCACTCATTAACTTGAATTTTATCTCACGAGGTTCTGTAGGTGTCAGCAACAGAACAGTGTTCAGAGAACCATGTTGCCTGAAGTTAACCTCCGCTCCCTCGTGTTATTTTTTATATTTTATTCTTATTCTATTTATATGCTTGCTGCAACTGCCATCTTGCTGATGGTTGATAGCGTAACCTTACTTAATGAGCTATTTATACCCATCTGTTACATAGGTAAGAGGTCACTAGAGCATGTCATCAGAGCAGCACCGACAAAAAAAAAATACAAAGGGCAGGATTTTCCACCTCTCTTGAAAAGGTGCAAATAGCTACTTACTTCATCCTCTGTGAATTCGGGCTCTGATTCACTGCTCTCCTCATCCTCACTTTCTGGCAACATCTGCAGGTCGGCTGTGGTCAGCTGCTTCAGCTGTTCCTGTATGCTGGAGTTGTCTCTTCCCCATGTGAGCTGGTAGGGGGAATAGCCCTGGTAGGTCACTTTGTTCACATCTGCCCCATGTTTCACCAGAAGCGACACCAGGTCTGAATTCTGCAGGTCGACAGCCAAATGTAGTGCCGTTCTGCCGTTGCATGGCTCCTGCGTGAAAATAACACAAGGTTTGGCACGTTAGGAGAGCCAGAGCCGGTGCCAGACCTGTTGATTTTCTTGTGACTACACAGCCCTGCTGAGTTAAATTCACTGTATACATTACATACCTGAGCATTTACATCTGCTCCCAAGGACAGCAAGTATTCGACAATAGCCAGGTATCCTTGAATAGATGCCAAATGGAGACACGTATGTCCTGCAAAACACAAATGAAGGGAAAATTTGAGTAAGTCTAACCTAATGTCCTATCATTCAGTTAAAGTCAAGATGATTGGACAGGGCGCTATCTAAGTTTGCAATTCATCCATGACAAAAGGGTGTTTTCCAGAAGAGTGTTCCAGCTTCCAGTAAGTATGAATAACAGGGCTGGATTTCGGAAAGATTTCTTAGGGGCTTTATTCCAGTGTTTGACTGCAACTTATTGTAACAAAAAAAAAAAAAAGGAGCACTGCAAAAGTACTCACTAAAGATGCAAAATTCAAAGCTGTGAGAGCCAATAATTAATAGTGAGGAGGGCTACAAAGCAGTGACATTTTAAAGAAGTCAGACACTGCTGTATGCTTTGGGCTCCTCAACTCTCAAACGGGCATAACGATCCTTCTCCACCTCTCCAGAGATCTTTGAGCTCTACAGGACATCAACCCTACCCTCAGTACACCACACCGACATCGATGTACAGCAGCGTGCCCGTACCGTTGTAGTTGGTTGCCTGCAGGACAGCGAGGAGGTGGTGCGGCTGGCAGTACTGTGTGAGGACACTGACGCTCCTGAGGGAGCCCTGCTGGCAGGCGATGTGCAGGGGGGTGTTTCCTCGGAAGTCCCTGATTTCCAGGTCGCATCCGGCCTTCAGAAGATGCTCAGCAATTTCAGGCTGATCAGTGATCACTGCCAGGTGAAGAGGAGTCTGCAGGCAAAAGAGAAAACGCAGACCTGTAAGTTGCACAGCAAACTTGGCAGCAACATTTGGACAAACAGACCTCTCAAACACTTGCTGATTTGTGCCCCCAATTAAAAACACACCCCATAAACTCAGTTCTTTATGCTTCCCAACATACTGTATAGTCGCCCTTTAGTCTGGAAGTGATAAACTGAGGGCTCTCTGGACACCGTACAGTCAATCCATATGAAGGATATCATTAACCTCCCAATAAAGAGGGATGCAACCCATTGCATCATATTTGAAAAATGCAAGCATTAAACGCCACTCTCAGGGGAGAGGAAGCACTGTACTAACACTGGCTAGAGCCAGCTGGGGACTTTCCTGAATACAGGCTTTGATTTAATTGATTCCCACAATTCAAAAAAAAATTTTAAATTACGTTTTGCAGGGGAATTCCCCAGAGGACTTTGGTCGGGGTGGCAGGGGCTGTAGAGGTGAAAGTACCTGGCTGAGGTTGTTCTGGAAGTTCAGGAAAGCACGGTCCCCGGCTGTCTGCCGGATCACCTCCAGGCTCAGGGCTTTTTCCTCGTGAATAATCGCCAAGTGGAGAAAACTGCAGGGGGAAAAAAATTAAATAAATAAATTTTAAAAAATTAAACTACCCACGTTAAAACCCCCAAATCCCACGTTAAAAAACTCCAAATCCCCAGGCGGGCAGAGGGGCGAGGCGGGCCCGGGGCAGGGTCATGCGCGGGTGTCGCAAGCC